ATCTATAAGAACAGCTCACGTTCGATTGTGGAGTTTCAACAACTTTACGCTTCCAAATATGTGCACGTTCCTCAAGGATCCTTAGTGATTCAAATTTGAAAAATCTTTTCATGTTTCATTAACGCAATATGTACCACCCTAATCTGATTATTAGCTTATAGTCATAGGTCATCGGTAGCTATTTGCAAATTTAGCAGTTCCGCATGCAAACTTCAGTAATTATCAGTTGCATCACTTTAGCGATTTTGCGAAATTGAACGCAAATAGTAAACCTTGCATTTTAGTGCGACTGAGTTGTATAGTGGATTCGTGTTTCCTAGTCCCCTTCCATATGACCAATCTTCCTTTTACTCTATTAAAATTTGTTAAATGATATAAAGTAGTGTTTACTAATTGCGCTTTCGAGTTATATTGACAGGATATGGTCGTGGCGAAAAGACTTGGTGTTCTGTTAAATGCGGTGCAACGGATTCGCAGATTGTCAGATGAAACTGAAATTGCAATTTCCCGTGCGAATCTCAGGCAAAAAGTTTCTCTACTGCTTGTGTTTGCAACTTGCAGGAAGCATGATTGCACATAAAATAGCTAGGGAATGTGGTATTTCTGCAGATTGCGTAATTGTAGTTAACTGGCGCAAGGGAACTGCTTACGGTATTGGCGATGTAAATGCTTGCCGTTTTGCGTGCGGGGGGTTTCGAATGGCTTTTCACTTCGGATTTCCTTTGATAGTTCATGCTACTGACCTTATTGAAGTAGCGCAATAATTTAAGATTTTATTACCATGCTGGAAACGTGATGATGGCTGAACTAACATCCACTGTTTTTAGCGAACCTGTGCATGCAAAGGGACAACCGATATTGTACTCGACAGATAGTTGCAAATATATTGAACAGCAGTGCGGTGCAACTAGTGTATTGGACAAAGAGCCACTCACTCTATCATAACAATCTGACGTGTTACATTTCTGTTGAACAATAGACCATGGTGTATTGCCACAGATTTGTGAAGTACAATGGAACAATGGAACAATGGTTTATTACGGGTAAAAAGGCATCGCTTAACAAGTCCCGTAGGGTGGAAATTATTGCGAAAATCAATAGCATAATAAAGTGAAAAGCGTTGAGGTGGACTCACCATAGAATTATGTGGAATAGCGGAGATGTTCGCGTATTAAACGTATAAATCCATAAATCCATTGGTTAGGCGTTTGGCAAGACACCGTTTGATTGCGTTTGTAGCCACTGGCTAACAGGTCATAAAGTGAAATGTAGGTGAGACAGTGCATCGTCAACACGTTTTTAAATGTCGCCAAATTGGGAGCAGAAAGACATAATTAGGCAAGGCATTCCAAGGCTCACGCACGCGGAGAGAAAAGGAATTTCTACAGCATTCAAGCCGGCTATGCTGAATTGTCAGTTTCAGAGGGTGACCTCTTAGTTTAGTGTTGTGGTTCAATTCCAGCAGCGGACGGCAAATGTGGTTTGGGTTCTTCAGAATCTGGTAAACCATTATGAGATCCCCCCGCAAAAGCCAATATTGACTGCTGTACATTCTTAGAGATTTCAGTCTAATCTGAAAGGGCAGATGAAAGAGGCCCCTGACGTTATTGGTTGCCCGTCGTTGAAGAGTCCCGAGAGCAACGAGATCCTGTTTCTGCCGCGGCTGCCACACCTGAATAGCATATTCCACGTGAGGTCGCACATAGGCGCTAAGCATTTAGGGAAATATTGGTGGTTCAAACCGATCGAAAGCTCTGCGAAGAAGGCCGAAGTGTTGATTTCCGGTTCTCTTCGCCTTCTCTGCTTGTTTTGAACACCCAAGATCTTTCTGTACCAATACACCCAGGTCACGCTCCTGAGAAACCTTCGCCAAGGTGTGGTCTCCAATCTTGTAAGCGCTCACCGGCTGGTGACGCAGATGTATCACTTTGCAATTGGCTATGTTCAATTGAAGCATGGTCCTCTTTGACCATTCGTAAATGCAATCTAGGTCATGTTGGAGCAGATCCTGAGCTGGCTTGTTACTAATCGCCCGCCATATCTTGACGTCATCGGCGAAAAGCAGGAAATTTGAGGAGATGACTCTTGCCAGGTCGTTGATAAACACCAGGAATAAACGCGGTCCCAGCACTGAGCCTTGTGGGACACCACATTCCACCTCAATTGAGTTAGAGAGTGATCCCCTAACACGTACTTGAAGCTTCCGTTGGTAAAGGAAGCTGCCAATCCAACCAAGTACAGGATCTCCTATTCTGTAACTCTGAAGCCTTTGAAGTAGGGTGCGGTAATCAAGGTGGTCGAAAGCTTTGGAGAAGTCCAAATAGATGACGTCGACTCCGACCCCGTCATCGGCCTTTTCCGTCCAACTACCTCGTGCAATAAGTAGGTTGGTGGTGCATGACCGGTGTTGACGGAAGTCATGCTGTTCCGGCACCAAGATGTTGCATTTTTCCATGTAGTCCATTAAAGCATCAACGACGACTGCTTCCATCACCTTCGCGAGCACAGGGAGGAAAGTCACTGGACGATTGTTTGTAGGATCTGAACGGCTGCCGCCTTTAAAAATAAGGGTTATAATGCCGCACTTCCACATAGTGGGGACTTGTTGTTCATCAAAGCACCTTTGGTAGAACTGTGACAGTGGTTCAGCTAGCTTGGTGGCCACAGTCTTCAGTGCCTTCAGGCGGATGTTGTCTGCTCCTGGAGAACTATGCTCACGCAGTGAGAGTAACTTCCTTAGCACAACTGATGGGTTGAAAATTACATTTGTAAACAATGGTGTCGGTAATGTGCTTGATATTATGGGACAGGTAGAGGTTGCGAGTTCAAAAATTGGGGCGTATTGTAGCCGCAAGGCATTAGCTGCTTCTTCGGCACTTTGTACTCTACCGCCTGTCGTGAAAAGTGGAGGGATTCCATGCTTCACTTTACGAAGCTTATTGATATGCCTATATAGCAGTTTGTTGTTTGCCATGAATTTTGTGGCTAGGCACTGTTGATAAGTTACTTTGTCCTCACGGACAAGTGCAGTGCAATGGTTGCGATGGGTCAGGAAATTTCCCCAAGTCTCTGAGTCGGGGTTAATCTTGTAGGCACGCCATGCTGCATCCCTTATCGCCAGGTATTTTCGAGTCCTACTCCTTAGAATTGAAGGCATTTTCGCGGGACGAAGGGGCTTGGTCTCTGATGCTCCGTTGACGATGTCGCTGAGTTTATTAACGAACTCTGCCCAAACGTTGTAAAGGGGACTTTGTTTGAGAATTCCCAAGCAGCTGCGTCGGCGAGTTCTTTCAATACGTGGTAGCGTGTGATTGTATGAGTTAGTTCCGAGTGTTCAGATGGATACTCTGCATAACACACATAGTCAAAAGTTATTACTACGTGGCCACTGAGACCTAATGGACTATCCATCAATAACTTGTCAATCATGAGCTCTTCATTCGTGAGCACAAGGTCCAATATGGACGGTTTGTTTGCTGTCCTGAATCTAGTGGGCTTGGTGACATGATTGTACAAAGGAATATTAGCGATCAGTTCATGCAAGTCTGCTTTGAACTGCTCACTGGGCGATGCCGAAACCTCCAGATTGTGTAGATTGAAGTCCCCGGAGATGAGGATGTGGCTGTACCTAGTGCGTGTTACTCTGTTTAGACCACGGATCAAGCAGGAATCCATTTCCGGAGTGGACGTTGGGGGCCGGTCAACGATAGCTATGAGACATGTGTCGTTGTGTCTTAGTCGGAGACGGCACCAGAGTGAGTCGGTAACGTGTGTTTCCAGATCATCAACTATTGTACATTGTAGATCGCTGCGGTAGTAGAGTAGGACCCCACCTCCTCTGCTGAGGCGGTCCTTCCGGATGAGTGACATTCCGGCTATCTCCACCTCAGCATCAGTCACCTCTTGGTGCAACCAAGTTTCGGTAATAGAAATTAGGTCCCAAGCATTCGCAACCTGACGTAGTCGAAGTTCGGTAAGTTTACTGAGGAGCCCTTGGGCGTTAGTGTACATACATGAAAGTTTCTCAGATTTAAGCAGTTTCAGAGGTTGTACAACTCATACGTGAAGTTTCGCCGACCAGTGAGTGGCCGGCGACTAATTGTTTTTTCGATGTGTACTTGGTGAAATGTTTAACGTCTTATTCATCGTCCGTGTAGTTAGTCCCGTGTCTAATCTTTGACCTACAGTGTAAGGCGTCTGGTCAATATCATCTTCTACAGGTTTTATGGGCTCATTCGGCACACTACTGGTGCATCGTTCTTTCATATATCCCATCGTGTTTGGTAATTTGAGTGACATATCAACTCTAGGAATCATATCGTTGATTGTCTTCAGCCGAACCTCAGATGGTAGCTTGCAACGGATCATGTACCAGCTTTTTAACATCCGTGATACCATATGTTTTGACTGAAGGACCATCTTCAACAATCTCGGGCCACTTCCATTGTAGTTCGGGGAGGTACGCAGTTGTGACAGAGATTTCGCTAACACATCATCCAAGCAGAGTGTTTCACGAATATAACATCACTGTACTTTATCATGGGGTGTTATTTCATGCACATCACATGTTTCAGTTTCAGGTACTCATGAAGCAGAATGGTTCTGGTTGAAGTTTCCTTCCGGTAGTCCTCTAAGGTGCGGTTAACTCGATAACGCTCGCCCCATGGGATGTCTGGAAAGATACGGATGGAGCAATGTTCATTTCTGAGACTACCTGTCGACAGTAGTACTGATTCTACTTCAGTGATGGAGTTCAGCACAACGCGCAAAAGTCTTGGCTCTCCGAAATGTTTAGAGTTGGAGTGTCGTGTAATACGCATTACGTGTACAGGTTTCAGTACAACTCCGATTAGGTTACTAATAATGTCCCACTGGTTGAGGTCATCCAACTGCCTGCCTCTTATGGATGTCGAATTTGTTTCTGAGATATTGGAGCACAGTAGTTGGTTATTTTGATGTTTCTTTTTACTCACACTGAATTTGACACAATTTTCTTACAGGGTTTAATGGCACTTTCTCAAAATTCGTATATCCGTGAAGCGTTTTATCCAGGTGGCATGATTATCCGGAAATGCACACCTGTGGCTGAAATCGAGCTCAATTTTAATCGAACACAATTGGAAAATCACAAGGTAACTAGCAAATCCGTAAACATTTTGCGAAAGAACATTAAGCTCTACAGACATTATACAACCACCAATGCCGTTGGGGATCAGTGTTATTTTGCTGAAAAAAGGAAACTCTCAAGTAAGTTTACTTTCCAACTACGGATAATTGCTTGCGCATCTCTTGACACTTACTCGATATCCTCGATCGCAATTGAACTTCAATCGACTTCGTTCGCAAAGCAAGACTCTATACTGCATCTACTTAAGATGTGCAGATTATGCGTCCTGAACTCAGGACCTTGATAGCTGTGGCGGATACTGTGCTTCGTCAGGATAGCAAAACAGTGACTGAAATATGGCATACGGTACGCAACGTATTGCTATTAATGTGGATAGTTTAGAAGAACCAGTTCTGTAAGATAAGCAGAAATGTTTTTTGACATACGAAAAAATATTTAAAATCCCATGGATAGTTAGATCATAAATATTCCGGCTTTATCATACATACAGGTTGGCAGCAAATCACAATAAATATTCTAAGCAGTGCTGAAGTGGCCAAAATATTTCAACATGCAATCCAAATCGTCAGCCTGGGTTTAACACCAAAAGCTTTAAAATTCCTAGTCTTGAAATTTAATGGTAAATATAGTGGAAAGCGTGTAAATCAATATTACGGCAATTTAACTATCGGAGTAACTATCAGCGTCGTTAAATCGCATGATTTTCATGGATTGTTTAGGTAATTTTGAGGTTGGTAGCACAATCACTTATACAGTAACCCAAAAGAAGTTCTAAATTAGTTAAATTTTGCTTACTTGACAGAAATCAAATTAAGGAATGTGTTTAAGTAGTTTTATGTGCGCACAACCTTATTGAACTTTATACTTAGCAACATGATTGAGCTTAAGTATGCAGTGTTAAGGGTCAGGAGAAAAATATTTTTCTCTTTGCATATCCAAGGCCCCCTTTATGTGTTTTCTTCAACCACTTGTTGAGGTATTTAACGGAAACTAGGCGATTAGTTGTTTCTTAAGGCTTAAACAAATGTACGCCCTATAATTAGAACGAAAATTATCCCTTAATAAGCGTATACACGTCTTACTATGTAAGAAAACATTTGGGATTAGCCTGCTCAGCCAGCCCGTACAGGAAATGATATTACCAGTAACTCAAAAAAATTTGCAGTCAACAGCATACATAATACATACTCACGGAAAGCTTAGCCAAAAGCGTCTAAAGTGTGGTACGGAATTTTGTGTTAAGAGTGTACGAGTTCCACTAATATTCCCTATTGTTTTAAAATAAATACACCCTAACTGGGGCTGCCCACCTGTAAGCGATTTCAAGAACCGTGATAATATGATCGACTCCGCTTGGTTCAGAGCGGAGTGTACGGCCGTTCCAATTGCGCATTTATTGCTTCTTGGCACAACAATCAACCGTCGATTGAGCTGTCCCACTGTATACACAAAAGATACGGCAACAAATTTGATGACCGAGACTAATCTATAGAAAAGACGCAGACGAGATCAATTGGTTAAGAAATATAACCAAATGTTTCTACTCCAATCCGAGAGGCTACATTTAATGATGCGTTATTATTGCATATTTCATCAAAGGCTCCTGGCGCATCCAATATTGCTGAATGCCACGCAGTATATTTGTTTGTTCTTGCCACCCAATTGACAGGCTAGCCACTCTTCGCAAAGTCAGACAATGACGAACGAGAAGCAGTTAGTGTTACTAATACTACCGAGAGATATAGGATAGCCAATATGGTGTATTGTAATTATTAGCCACACACCCCTCCAAAAAGAGAACTGTGGAAAAAATCATAAATGTCCAATACGGCTGCACCTGAGACAGGGTCGTTCAAAGACAATCCGTTATGCGGCGGTAAGCAGTGGAACAATGTGTGTAAATTTATCATGCTCAAAGCTAAACCAGACAGTATGATTTGCCTCGTCCGTAATCCAAATGCTGTATACTACAACGAACGTAAATTAATAATAGTAACGCTTAGGTCACTTGATGAAGTAGAGGCAGTTCTCTTGTCAGACACTGACCTCCGCATCACCATATGCACTGTTCGTAATTTTCTTGCTTTTCCTTGGAGAGAACCTAAGAAACACTAACGACACTCAAATGAATCCCGTAAAGGGAAAGACCTAAGATCGATTTTGTCTCAGGTGTCCACAAGCTTCAGACTTTAAGCAAGATATAGACTTAACCGCAAAGCCGAAATGATTAGGGCTTCATCTGGCAATTGCTCACCGTCGAAAGCGTGATCGCCACGTCCATCACAAGATCACCGTAAACAAGGAACTGGAAACGGTATTATCTCCGAGTGATCGAAAACCTTGGAGCAAAAGTTGTTTAAAATGGATTTAAATTCGCAAAACATATATAACACCAAATAACGCCAGGAGTCAATTATATTAGATAACATTGGACGTAAAAAAGGTAGGTCAATTTGACCTCTGAGCGCTCTACGCGACAACAGGAAACGGCCCCGAAGCCTGTGTCAGCGGACTAATGAAAAGCGACTGGCAAGCAAACTTAAAAGAGCCAAGTAAAACCTCACATTTAATCGGCAAGTAACCTCTAACATCTGGCATCTAACACCAGAATCCCTAGAATGCATGTATACCAACGCTCCACATGTTCTCTGTAAGTTAATCGAACTTTCTAATCGTCAGAGCTCAACGATTGGGAACATCGTTATGGTAACCGAAATGCGCTCAATAATAAGATAACTGATGTTCTATCAGGCAGGGCTCTCCTACTAGACCAGGGGTTACCAAACATTTTTCTCAGCGGAACGGGTAATTAGAAAAACTGACCGGCGCAAGCCAGATAACAGGAAAAATGACTAGCGCGGGCCGGAAAACTAAAAAGTGGTTAGCATGGGCCGCATAATCAATATGTAAACTACTTGCAAGCCGGAACGAAAAATTGAGATAACAGATAACGAAAGCACAACACCATTTGTCCGCTTTCCTTCTCCAAGAATTTTTAGTAAAGGCTGAAATGTACGCGATCTGAATAAAATGGAGCTATTGTAATAGAAACATACTAAAAATTAATTGAAACATAGGGAAAACACAGGAGTAGGGTTCAATGTAGAATTATGCACCTACCAAACTGTTTGAACCTAAAAACTTTACGTTCTCCGCACAATTATTACTTGCAACTTGCAATTCCTTCTAATTGTGGCTCCAAAATGACACTAATAAACTATTGGTATTTTAGATGACGCTTGTTTGAACTGGGTAGATCAATTCTACTATTGTGGCACAATGATGGGAAGTGAACAGAAACACGGAACGGTTCAGTATGGATGGGTTTCAAGCGTGATCACACTTATTAATATTTCAGTGATATCTGGTCATTAATAGTACGTTAATACAACGTAACATTTAAAAATCCTGGGATGGTTCACGCTAGTGTTCAAACAAAGTGCGGTCACTGAAAATGAAAAATGCAGTCAAATATAACTTGTATCACAAGGTCTCGTTTACCGTAGATTTATGAAGCTAATTCGGGTACAGTTGGTGGGCTGGATAAATTGATGCCGCGGGTGGGATCCGGCCTAAAAGCATCTTAACAATTGACCTGAAAGTTATGATAAAATATACGACACTAAAGAAGGAATAATGGGAATCAAGCAGTGAGCACTACAGCAAACATCTGAACGCAGCAACAAGGAAATCTGCATCTTAATTCATTTGCAGAGATAGATGGGTATACTAAACTCGAAATGTTTCGTTTTTTCTGTCTTTTTCCAAACTGCTTTTTAATCCTTATTTTACTCATCCTACGTAATTTGTCAAGCACACAAGATTTTCCGCTGTAAATCAGTATTCAATGTATATTTAACAGTTTTACTAACACGCGAAAAAACGGAAACTAATATTTTCGCTCTTCTTTTGTTGTTTCAATTAACTATGACTAGCGTTATATAGTTTATACAGAATCTTTATGTTTCCCATTACGCCTCAGTACGCTAGAAGGAATATCTTGATGTTAAATCCCATGACACTTAATTATTTGCATTCAATAATTATAAGCCGTACCCAAGAAAATATTTAAATAACGCCTCAATAATTATAAGTAACTGATCTACCCAATACTAATGTATATTCGTTACATGTTTAGTAAACCATACTGTATAAAATGAGTATTTTCAACAGGAACATGCGGTTAAACGAACATTTGGGATGGCATTTTGACTTAGGTATGTATTTTCAAACATTAGAAGTAAATAATGGTAGTGGTGAGCCTGATGTGGCTGTGTTGAGTCTTCAAAGGGCGCACCTTGAAGAAACGTCTGCTGCTTTTGCCCCGTGTTATTGGGTCATTAGAAACCTCACAATGTTGCATTCGTCTTCAGACAATTCTTTTGGCTATCACTCAATTCCGTAAAATAAAATTTCAGCCGCATTATCTTCACCGCAGTAGATTTAATTTCCTATAATACGCCGAATTACCTCGTTGTTATCATGCATGTTCCATTAAAGTTGTCAATTATGGGTGCGCATAACACAAGCAAGCAAAGTACTGGATATTTGAGCACAGAGCTTTTTCACCAAGTTTAATTCCTAAATAGAAAAAAGATAGATATGTTTAAACAGACTGTGTCTGAAACAATGTGCGTATTTATTGATTCTAATCAGAATGCTTGTCACATTCTGTATTCATTGGAATAGTAACTCGGTAACTAACATTTGATATTATCTTTTATTTTTAAGTGTGATACACGGCAAAATTTACTACGTGTTTTAACTTAACTACGCAAACATCGGTCGCGTAGATCGGACAAGTTGCTTCCAAAAACATAGTAAATTCTACCTAAAGAAAATAATACCCAAATAGACAAACCATAATTATCACCGAGGTTGCGCCATTCGAGTTACTGTTTGGCAAACAACAAATAATTCCCCTTGATACACGCATAACACTTAAGCTAAATACGATAGCCCAGCAACACGTCACGGACGTTTGGAAGGAACCGACAGAGGATAAACCAGGTGTCGATAAACAAGGAACAAATGCCATCATTATGTCAGGTACGTAAAACACAAGTGGCAGCCATACCGTGTAGGAGAACAACTCAAGCTAGGAAATCACGATGGTCCG